CAGACCCTGAGGCCAGTGACTGTCCTCTGTCTTTTGTCCCTGCTTGCATGGAACACATGCCACCAGTATGGAAACAATCAAGGCACCAGTCCGACCTTTCCTTTCCAGAAGGGAGAAAGGTCCCACTTGGTATTACAGGTCCTCTCACAGGGCGATGTGTACAGATGAGCAGAAGTGTAGAACTAGACATCCGCGTGTGGTTGCCACGGGAAGAACTCTGGTGAAAGTTGTGTTCTTTTTCTCCAAAGTCAGACACGCACACACATACACACACACACACACAATATGGGGCACAAAATTTCAGGGAGTCAGTGAATTTTTATGCTCATCCACGAGCCCCACATGTCTCCCCAGGCCCTATGGTTAAAGGCCCTGCTTTATTAAAAAAAAAACCTGCCTATATAGTTAATGTTTGTTCATCAATGAACACAAATATATTTATTAAATCAATAAACATTAAATGTGTCAGGCTCTGACTTACAGTTTCTACACAGAACCGACATTAAATAAGATACGATTTTTTTTACAAAGCTTTTAATCAATTTGATCACCATTTTCTCTGTGACTATGTACATTACATGCATGTACATAGATGTGCTTATATTAGGTAAATCAATGGAATGTAGGTTTCCTTTTTACTGTTTTGATGTACTGGGTAGCAGCTTTAATGTGCAATGCATGGGTGTGTACATATTCACACACAGTCACACACACAAACATGATCTGTAAACATTAAAACTTTGTTTCCTGGATAAGGACCTGTCAATCTGTCCTCAGTTGCATGTTGGGGCCAATAACAAGTGCCACATTCAAGAAATATGCTTAAAATTCCCCAATAATGCCTCCAGTGCTTGATTGTAATTCAGGTTGCTCTCATCAGCTGGCCTCCCAAAGGGAGTTAATACGGCAAGAATAGCATCCCTGTCACAATTATAAACGACAATACATCCAGGTTTCACAGCACAATTGGCAAGAAACGTCTATGCCAGTCACAGACCTTCAAAGAGCTAAAGCTTCCCAGAGCTTACCACCCCTCGATATGAGACTTCAAATGAAACAGGCAGTAACTACAAAATGTCATCCAGGGAGACTTGATATGAGACCAACACTAAACATTGAATAACAAATCCAGATAAGCATTTGCAGCCTATCCCACAGGGATGAGCCGGATAAGTTAGTGAGGGGTTTTTCCTCTGTCAAATGTCTCAGTGCTTTGGATACAAAGTTCCTAAACCCATAAAAATCAGAGAAAAAAAAACCCTGTTCATATTATATTATTTTTGCATATTTTCTACAAGATGTATGACCTAGAATATAAAGAACGGATTTTATATAGTTAACCTTTATACTAAATAACAGTGAAGAGTTAGAGAAACAAGAGAGATTTCAATAAGGGGATGGGGACAGAGATAACGTATAAATATTGAAATTCTTGGAGCAACTGAACAGCCTGGGGTCTAATTTTGAAATACCTGTCCATTCTCACCTACATTTGCTAACCCTTTTCTGTGTACTGAGCTCTCTGACTTCATCCCTTTCCTCCTCTTCCTCCTCCTCCTCTCTGTTTCTTTTACTTGGAGCCATGGTTACCGTGTCGGAGAGACAGATCAAGAGAGAGGGTGGGGAGAAGAGAGGAAGGGAGAAGGAAGGGAGGACCTGACCCCAGGGAAAATCTCAATTTTTTACACTCAGGTCAGGCGTGGTGCCTAGATCCTTTACTTCAATTGGTAGGTGATTTCTTTTTCTGCTTTGTTTTGACAGGGATAACTTTTCAAATTAAACCCCTTTATTGAATTTTCACTCTTGGATAGTTTCTGAAGATGCTGCCTTTGCAAAAAAGTAAAATAAAATAAATAAAATCGGAGCTGATATAGTTCATGCCTTGTGTAAGCTGAGCCTGAGATGACAGTTGGGCACGATCAACCTCCATGCCTTTGGGGAATGCAGGAATAATGATGGGTGGGGAAAAAAGTGCAGATGAAGGAAAGAGATGGCTTTGCTGTTCTCAGGATATGGGGTTATGTGCATTACACGGCAAGGCCAGAAAGCAGCAGCAGCCCCAAAAGCTCAAAATAAAAGCAATCTAGGATGTTGCCAAGTCGACCCAGAGCTTTTCAAACACGGGGTGTAGTCATGGGAAACAGACCCTAAAGCTCTTTTATTAGTTTTTATTATGAGACTTTTTGACCCTAAGCACATTCCCCAGGCCAGCATCATCAACTTCACCTAGGGGCTTGTTAGGAATGCAGACTCTTGGGTCCCTCCTGAATCAGAATTTACATTTTAACAAGATCGCCAGGTGGGTCCTATGCATGTTAAGGTTTGAGATGCAGCACTCCATAAGTTTCAGGCCGCCCTGTGAGTGATGTTAGGCAGCCAGTTGGTAACCCTGACACTTGGCCAGCTATGCATTCATTCATTGAACAAATACGCATGACGCTCCATCTCCAATACATGTGGACACTGTGGCATGTGCTGCAGACAGACTACTGAACAAAGGTACACATGGCCCCTGCACACACAGCACTGACTGGTGGAGAGGAAAAGCTGTGACCGAATAATCAGGTAAATAGAATGTGTAATTTCAAACTGAGATGAGCACAGTAAAGAAAAATAATAGACTAGGATGAAAGCAAAGAGATTGAGAAACTGGTTTACAATGGGAGTTCATGAAAGACTTCCCCTAAGAAATGATACTTTCCTGGATTTTGTTATAATTCTATGGTTGTATTGGATGCTATCTTTGGGGAAAGCTGGGTGAAAAGTAGAGGGGAGCTTTACTATATTTGCGTGAGTCTTCTACTTGAGTCTAAAATTATTTCAAAATAAAAAATAAAAAAATAGAATTGGATGATTAACCTGAAATTTGAACCACTCACAGTGATTAATTACACTGAATTAATTGGAGAAGAGGAAGGGAATATTCCAGGCAGAGGAAACAGCAGGTATCGGAGCCTTCAACCAAGTCCTAGAACCCTCTATGTTTCAATAATTAAAAGCAAACTCAAGGGCCTGCAGGTAAGGAATGAGGAGAGCACAGAGTGAGGTGAGTCTGAGGAAATGAACAGGCACCTGCTTATGCTGGACCTGTAGGTCAAGGTGAGAACTTTGATCTTCATCCCCAGAACAATGCCAAGGAAATCAAAGCTCTAAACAGATCGTGATTGCTTTTACCTTAGGAAAAGACTGTGCTGGTTATTGTGTACTAAGAAGCAGACCTTGGGACCCAAGAGGACATAATCAGCTCCGGGGCAGTGGAGGTATGTGTGTCCACCCCACTGGAGAGGTGGGATAGAAGCTCTGCTGTTGAGCTCATTCTGCACAGGGCACAGTGCAGGGGCATGTGACATGACATACAGCAGCCCTGCCTGAATACATAAAGGAGACAGGCAATGGCCAGCTTGGACCCTGACCTATCCTTCCACTGAATCTGCCAAAGAACATATTCATTCTCCAAACAGGAAGCAAAGCCTCTAGAGATGAAAGGTCTCATGGTGTGTGCACAGCAGCGAAGCATCTAACATTTCTGAAGTGTCTGGGCCACAGGGTAACCGGTGACCTCCTGTGAGTTGTCAGCTGGTAAAGTGCATGCATGGTGGCCTTTGTGTTCAGAAGAGCTGAGGACAAGTTGACAGGCACAAGTGCCAGGGACGATGAAGCTTGTGAGTTGTAAGGGATATTTTTGATACTGAAGCTGGGAGTATCTCAATAATTAGATTTTCATTCTCTGGCTCAGAGCTGGGCACCTCTAACCATCACTGCTCTGTACTAACTGTGGACAGTCCATTCTCTCTCTCTTCTCTGCCCTTGGGACCTCTTTCTCCCCCCATCCTATCTCTCCTCATCCCTTTTTCTTACACACTTTCTATTTGCCTTTGTCATTTTCACCTTCAGTGCCCACTTTCAGGTCTGGTGGGCCCTGGTCAACTCGTAGACCCTGTGGAGATCCTCAGGGCCAAAGGAGGACAGGAAAATGTCTGTTATTGCTGTTTATATGTGTCATTTAAACTTTCTGCCCTGGCTGGTGTGGCTGAGTGGATGGAGTGTGGGCCTGCAAACCACCGGTTCAATTCCCACCCAGGGCACATGCCTGGGTTGCAGGACAGATCCCCAGTAGGGGGGCATGAGAGGCAGCCACACACTGATGCTTCTTCCCTTCACTTTCTCCTTCCCTTCCCCTCTCTCTAAAAATAAATAAATAAAATCTTTAAAAAACACTGTCTTTGACTTGGTTTGCTTATCTGCAAGAGGGGAACGACAACCTACAGATTGTGAGGACTCCTTGTGATAATGTATATAAAGTGCTCAGCATAATTCTTGGCGCAGGGTAAGTGGTCAGTAGGTGCCAGTTAGTACAGGACACATAATTGTGAACTTATTTAATCTAAAGTGAAGACTCTAAGGCATAAAGAGCTTAAATAGAGCTTAAGGCATAAGGAGCTTTCCAGGTCACATAACTAGCGAGCAGAGTTTTGATTTGTTCAGACATGATTTAAACTCTGGATTTTCACCTTCCTTTTCTCTATACCATGTGCCTAATGCTACAATCTCCATATGCACTGTGCTCCTTCCCTGTGGATGGCCTGACTGACTCAGCAGACTGTCCCCTCCTGATGCTTATTGTGGGGACACACAGGATGATTCTCTCCTCATCTGTGCTTCCTAAGTGCTTTGTGTTTCTCCAAGCAAGACAGGGAGGCATTGCCTGGATGTCACCTGACAAAATAAGGACACTGGAAAAACCAATCAAAACACAACAGCAGCACCAGAACAAAACACAGTAGAAATATGGAATTTTCAGTGTTCTCATTACCTGGAAAGGAAAACATCTTGACTGAATGATAGTTGTTAAAAATCATTAAGGCAGTGCTGAATTACTAAGAAAAGGAAAAGTTGTTATGTCCAAATGACTTGGATTATTGCCAATGAGCTTCCCGAACACAGGTACGGTTATGAAACTAACGTTACTGTGAACATCACGGAAAACTGGATGTACTTACGACCGTCCACTGTTCTGGCCTCGAGATGCACGAGATCTGGTTCCTTGTTTGATCCCATCATGGACCTGAAAAAGGTGAGGAGACGTGGAAAGGAACATCAGCCCCAGTGACTTCACACGTGCCTCAGAGAAATGCAGCTGAGGTCACACACTATTCATGTCCACAGGCTTCAAAAGCCACCCTCCTGGCAACACATCTATTGCATTTATTTATAAAGCCTGACAGCAAAATTTCCACTTCACATAAAAACAATAATGAAACCTTTATTTGGTGAAGGCCAGGTTCGATTGTAGCAAAGATACTGTATGTTATTAGATCAGCCTTTCAAAGAAATCCACGCATGGCATGTACTCTCCTGCAACAATCGCACTGAAGGTATATTAAACTTTCCAGACTTATTGGGCAGATGCAAGGCAAGTGGTTTTACTGGGGTGACCTGAATAGTGATTACACAGCCAACTGATCTGATTAACTCTCTCATTTAAAATTTGCAGAACTACCTACTGCTACCCTCCATGTTATGGGGAATCAAGCGGCCCAACAAACTGCTGTACAGTGGCCATTACAGCAAAAATGACCATGCTCTGTATTGTTGAACCAATGTTAGGGGGAAATACAGCGATGTCTGAAACGGTATGTGTACATAGAATAAAAGTCTATTTAAAATACCTTGGAGGCATGTATTATGAAGTGTATTCTTACAGAGAGCCATGTTAAATAGAAAATAATATTTCTGTTACATAAATAATGTGGGCGATCATACTCTCTCTCTCTATAGGAAGATGAATTAAAGTTGGGACCATCTATAATTTGCTTTCATTGGGATTTACAGAACTTTCATTTCATTTGCTTCTTTTCTTCATGGAAATAATCACATACCTCAAAAGCAGCACCTCTGCCTGTCCTGAGCCACTAGCACGGCCATCAAATCCAGGTGAGAAAATGCAACTATATCAAAATACTCCCTACAGTCAGGGCTCAGGGTGGCACCCCAGGCCTATCGGGTGTAGGTGGGTCTCACTTTTGCTGTCCTACCTCCTGGCAGCCAGAAGATCTGTGATTCCCCAAAAGTGCCCACTTGCTTCCTACCCCTCAGTAAGCCTCGGGAAGTTTCTGTCTTCAGCTTGCAACGCTCTTCTCCAGTTTCACCAGATTTTTCTTTGATTCTTACTTGATGACCCAGCTGCAGGTCACTTCCCACATTGCTTATGTCCCAGTTACTCCAGGAAAATCATTCTCCTTCTACCAGAAAACATTTATTTTTTTTTATAAATCCTATAACAGTTTGTTGAAATGACTTTTGTGTCTTTCCCCAAATAAAAGCAGCCCCCCCACATGCACACACATGCACATACAGACACCCAAACTGAGAGCTGCTGGAGATGTTTCTCTGTACATAGTGCTTGAGCTATAATAGTTAAATGTTGAATGAAAGAAGGAAGGGATAAATGAATGCAGGGATGAAGAAGAAAGGGAAGAGGGAGAGTAAGAATAAAGAAAGGAATAGAGAGAGGAAGGGCCAGTATATAAATGGTCTGTTAGCTCTTTGAGATAAATATATTAATCATTGTCCTGAGGGCATTCTCAAAACTCTTCTTACTTGAACTCATTTTCCCAGCTCAAAGACGGAAACCTAGATAGCTTAGTTTCTCTTCATTTTCTTTTTCTAAATGAGTCTCCTTAAGGCCTTATTATCACTGTCAGTAAGTTCTGTCTGATTGATAGATGGCCTGGAATTCAGGCTATGCTCAAACATTAAACCCTGCTTTCTTCTCTGAGAAAGCAGAAATGTCCTAATAAGGGTTTATAATTTCCCCCAAAGAGACAGGGGCATGCACTTGGATATTTCACATCATCAGAGTCAGAACGCAGGCAGACAGTAACACTTTCACCACCATTTCGGTTAATACTGCAGTGACTGCTTGTCCAGGGACAGGGGCTCCCCACTTCCCATGCAGAAGCACCGCTGGAATCATAGATGACCTCTTCTGACAAGGTCAGGGTCAAGAGCATTAAAAAGCAAACAAGCTCCCCCACAACCCTAAAACTAGAAACCTCAAGAATTAACTGCTTTTTGCAAGTAACTATTGGGTAAGTTACATGCTGTTCACCTTCTACTTTGCCTGCAGTGTGAATTTCTCCCTTGAAATGAATAGCACCTATGATTCCTAGGAAAAGACTGGCAGCCCAGAGAGGTAATGTTGAAACTAGCATGCAAAACTATCTGCTTGGTTTATGGTTAGTGTCCATGAGAGGCAAAATAATTCATCTGTATCCAGTTGCATCATTTCAGGGGCTCATGGCCCCAAATCAATGACAGCAGTAGTCTCTTAAGATCTTTTGTTATCTCTAAAGGCAGAAGCTGTTGTTTCAAGGAAATTTTCCTTCTTTTTTAACTAACAAAAAGGTACAGGGACAGAACAGAATCCTTTGTTTCTGCTGTGCCTAACCAACTCCCATACCCTCCCTGAATTTCTGTCCACCTGTAGTAAAACAACTGCAACAGCAACATAAAACTTTAAAGTCCAACCACAGGGTTTCTAATCACTTTTATTTGCTGATGTGCTCACCCCTTTCTTGAAGTACGGGAGTACCTCCAGATCTGCAGTCACAAGCTGTAAAGAATTATTGCTGCTGGTACTTCGTGGCACTGGTGCATTCTCAAGAGCAGACACCAGACAGTGAGAAATGTCTGCACAGGTGCTGGTTTCAACGGCCCTGTCATTGATCGGACATCTTATGGGAGCACTTTGCTACAGCTGAACCACAGCCTGTCATTCTCTAGCCCATTTATACATATTGGTTGGAACCGTGGAGTTTGGTGGTTTTCTGTGCATTTTAAGACCAACTGTTATACTTGCCAATGATGACAGATGGTGGCTAGGGGAAGGGGAAAATGGGGAGAGGATGGTAAAAGGGCACCATGATTCTTTTATAAAATGAATAAGATCTGAGAATCTAATGCATAATAACATGGTGACTGCCGCTGATAATAAAGTTTTTTAATTGCAGTTTGCTAAGAGAGTGGACATTATAAATTCTCAAGCACACCCCAAAAAATAGTTATGTGAGGTGAGGGATGGGTTAACTCAGTTGTGAAAATCCTTTCACAATATACACATACATCAAATTATCACATTGTATGCTTTCAATATAATTCTACTTGTCAATTAAATTTCAACAATGCTTAAAATGATAATAAATCAAAGAAAAGCAGCATAAACATCAAGTATAATCCAAAATGTTCTGTTGATCTTATTTTCAGACTGAGATTTCAAGTATAGTTTCAAGTATCTCTCACCAGGAAGTCTGACTTCCTGCAGGGAGCACCAAGTGCTGGGCGCCTTTGCTTGCTGCTTCTAGATCCCCCTGGAAACAAGCACATCCCTGTCAACATGCCCCTGTCATGGCTCATAATGGTTTGCTGGGTCTCTCTGGGAAAATGTTTCCCTTACTTCTCTAGGCTCCAAAGAAGGCAGTGCTCATTTTTATTGGTAAAATATTTATGCTTACCAGAGCATAGAGAAAAAGATTTCCTCAATAAACACATAGATAACATCTTTGCACTGGTATATATATATATATATATATATATATATATATATATATATATATAGAGAGAGAGAGAGAGAGAGAGAGAGAGAGAGAGAGAGAAAGATATCTATCTATAGAGATATAGATATCTCTCTATAGATAGATAGATCAGATATATACATCTGATAGATTGATTTGGTCTTCTGGGACTCAGAAAGAACCTATCCATAAATACGAGAGGAAAAAATTAGTACAGGATCCTTTAATTATATAAGAAAGGAATAGGGTGGCTATATCTTGTGTGTCTTTACATTGCCCTTATGTGTAACTGGGAAAATCAATTCCCTTCTTGAACTGAGTTTCACAGAGGGGAAGGGAGATCTTCAGGCCTTTGCACATACTCATATCTGTGTCCGGAAAGCCCTCTTACCCTCTTCTGCCTTGTTAACACGTACAGTCTGCAGCTCAGCTGCAGATGAGTGAAGTTGAAAACAGGCTTCGCAGTAGGGGTGCCACTTAAGTTAGTTCTCTTTTGACACTTCCAGAACCATGAGCATACATTTGCATAGCATAAATGAGGCCATGTTTCAATCAGTGACTCATCTGTCTACCCCTTGTATTCACAGACGAGCTGAAACCTTTTTGAGTTTCCATGTGTGCCATGTACAAATATTCACCAAATGTTTCTTGAATTTTTTTGGATAAAGGAGAAGTGCACAACCAGCCACATCAGCTTTTGTCCATTTATCTGGGTGTGTGATGTTTGCTAAGTTACTTAACATCTTTGTACTTTGATATCTTTTAATGTATGAAATGAGGCTAAAATAAATTGTCCTAGAATATACATCTTACAGTACTTAGCAGATTCCTGGCACAGAGCAAGGGCTCAGGAATGCATCTGATTTCTTTCTTCTTTCTCTTTCTTACTTCAGGAGATAGATGGAGAATATTAATACTCATCTCAAAATTAAAATTAATGTTGGTAATAAAAGCTTCTTGGGATATCATGGTACCCCATTAGTAGAGATGATTAATTATCATAAATCAATAGACAAAAAGAGTCAACAGCCCAGAGATCACGTAGATGAATAAATAGAAACACTTATTTATTCAGTGAAACATCTCAATGCCCTATTGTGTGATCAGAACAAGGGCTACAGATTCCCTGCCCTTAGGAGCTTTAGAGCTATGAAAGAGACAGTAATTCAATGAGACAAGGCTCTGATATTCAAGGTGCTCTTTGTAGACAGAGGATTGCTGTTCTTTCACTTGCAGATAAGAGACCTGGGGAAGAAGAAAGGCAAAGGAAGCCTTTAGAGTAAATGGATAGAATCTTCAAGGATATGCAGCAATATGATAAAGAGGTGGAGGGGGCGGAAGAGCATTCAAGCAGGTAAAAAGGTCCTAGTTTAGAGAAATGATGACCCACATAGACATCTAGTAGTTAAGTCAATAGGGCGGATCTAATGTTTTCAGAGGAGAGCCATAGAAGATAAAATAAAAGGTTAGGCAGGGGCACCGTGTGCATCAC